TTTTTACTGGCATGTTTTTACTGATATGTATTTTACATAATGTAAATGTAAGCATTTCGCTAGGCTTTAGATGGTAGTGACCAGGACAGGGTTCAAATGTAGTTGTTTAACCCCAATCATAGTTTAAAAAAAAAGGCTTGGCTGTTAATAAAAAATTTGCAGATTGTCACTAAAAAAATTGTCTTTGTTTGGCAACCCTCCTTAACTGCAGCAATGGTTTTACACCATGTAGCCACCACCCCAGGGGTCCCCCTTATACTCAGCCATCTCTGACCTCACCCATCACAGAGCTGCCCCCCCACCACTCCAGCCTTAACCCAGCTGGCCTCACTCCTCCCATCCCAGCATGGACCCCCACCTGCTGGCTTTCCCACTCTTGGCCTGTAGCTTTGCCGTCCCTTTTTATACAGAGCAGCTGTTAGAGGAAGGGAAATGCCTAAGGAATGCAGTAGCAGTAGATGATTAGGCAGGCTCCTGTGAGCTACAGAACCCCAATAAGAGCTCCCTGCAGGGTGCCGCGATCCCATTCAGACACCAAGTGTTGCTGCTGCACTCCATCTGTTTATCAAGCTTAGTTTTTTATGGACACCTCCAGGTTTTTTGGACCAGCAACCCCCCTCCCCCCATTATTTAAGAGTTGTTCATAAATTTATGGACAGTTGGCAACCCTGAACAGCTACATATAATTTAAGATGTTTATGAAACCTATATTTATCTCAAGTCAGTTACCCTCTTGGGTTCTCTTTCCCCACCATGAAGCCAAATCACTGTCTCTGAATTCAGCTTTCCATAATTTGATGTAATTAGACTGATCCTGGCCCTCAAATAGATCCCTAACTTTGCCCAACTCATCATCAGAAGTTAACTCCCTGATGATCAGTTGGCATTTAATGGGATTCAGCCCTGCCTTAACAATAATGCAAGACCTGTAAATGTATCTCTACTGCCACAACAATCAACGCTCCTCACAACAAAACCATCGGAATCCATAGATCATACAGGTCTTAGAATGTGGTATACGTCAACCAGTGCAAATGCATTCATAGCAACTATGTGGGTAAAACCAGACAAAAACTACACACCAGAATAAATGATTATTGAAAAAGATAAAGGACAGAGACACTGGAACATAGGTAAGAGAACATTTTTTACAGGGAAAAAAACCCCTCCATATCCAATCTCACAGTTCTCATGCTCAAAAGAAACCTACCAAACACCTTTGAAAAAAGAGCATGGGAACATAAATTCATAAGCCTATTGGACACACAATACCAGGGATTTAACACAGACAAATACTTCATGGTCAATCTACTTGATACATGCTAATCTCTGCACTTCACAGGTGAAAAAGACACTCGTGAACAATCTTATTCTTCCATTAACACGTTTTTACTGCATCTGTTCTGTTGATTGGCTATCTGATAATTCTTCTTGTATCTTTTTTTTATTTACGAGGGGAGGTTCAGAGATCTGGATCTCTTCAGCCTTTACAAAAGACGGCTGAGGGGTGACCTTGTAGCTGCCTATAAGTTTATCAGGGGAGGACAGCAGGGAATTGGGGATGCATTGTTTACCAGGGAGTAACTAGGAATAATGGGTGCAAACTAGTGGAGAATAGATTTAGGTTAGACATTAGGAAGAAATTGTTTACAGTAAGGGCGGCCAGAGTCTGGAATGGGCTTCCAAGAGAGGTGGTGCTATCACCTAACTTGGAGGCCTTCAAGAGGAGGCTTGACAATCACCTGGCTGGGGTCATTTGACCTCGGTCCTCTTTCCTGCCAGGGGCAGGGGGTTGGACACAATGATCCATTGGTTCCCTTCCAACTCTACAATCTATGAATCTACATAGAGTTTTACACAAGCTTTTTGTTCCATCTGCTATTAGCGCTGCTGTGTTTCTTCTTTCCCAGAGGCCTGAAGAAAAGTTAGGCTTGCCTATGTCTAACCCAATCATGCAGTTGGTCCAATTAAACATATCACCCACAAGAATTCTTGCCTCTCACTTTAATCAATTTTATGTGTTGATGTAATTTAATCATGGATAGATTGATGAAAATGTGAATTAAATTGTGAAACTAATCCTATAAAGTACAAATCAAGATACACAAAGTTGAAACACAGTCAAATGTTATAACATTTTGAGTAATGAAATATTAAGGGGAATAAAACTTTAGTTCTAACAAGAGTAAGACACACTTTAAGGATATGAAAGTTGAGAGTCCCTAAATAAATACTAAAATGAACAAGTCCGGTTATAAGTCCCTGCAGTTTGCAGTTTGGTCCATTTCTGTTGTGGGAGAGGGAAGAGAACTAGATAAAACCTAGTTGCCATCTGTGGACAGTGGGTGCATCTGTGCACATTCAATTGTTCCCTTCCTTCTCTGCAAGATTCCACTGCAAACTCATTAGAATTCAAATAGCTACTTTATCCCATGTGAGAAAAAACACAACAAAGAGGGCAAGGGTACTGCTAGGTCACTTAGAAGTACAGCTGGTCTGGAATGTACCTGACAGAACAGCCTTTTTGTCATAATTTACCAATTCACCAAAATTAAAGTTTCCTGCAGCTACAGCTTGAGGTTAATGAAACTGCTCTGGAACTCAACCAGGGGGGCCTATGCAATCTGGTCTGCCAGGCAGCTTTCAAAACCTACCTAATTTCCTGCCACTCTCCTGGTGGGCTGCTAGAGAGCTGGGATTAGAGAGTTCACCACTCCAAAGTAGCTAGCCAAGTGGACCTTATGTTGTGGACAGCAGGGGTTTTCTTTTTTTTTTCTTTTTGAGAGCACTAATATTCACAGGTAGTGGTCCTAATTTTAAACAAAGAGACAGAGAAAAATTTTAAAACCTTACATGAAATGGCATTATCTTTCTCTATCTAGTTCTACTTAATACTCATGGGGTACATCTACATGAGCTATTAATGCAGCTCAATAAACTCTGGTGCCGTTTGGGGCTGCTTTACCCTGGTTCAAACTGCTGTGGTTCTGGTCACTGTCCATATGTGTGTTTTTGTGACTCTGCCTTAAGACTCAGTACTATTTTACGGCAAAGTGAGTTAATTTATTGTGCCCCAATATGGGTGCATGTGTAGAGAGTGACATTTTAGTGCAGAGCTAATTAGTCAACTGCAGTAAAGCACATGTGTAGATGTACCCATGAGTACAGTAGGTATGTATCTGCCTTGCTGTTGTGTGGGAATACTAAAGTAGGTGACAAGCAGAAAAGATTTCCTTTCTCTACTCAATCATCTCAATTACATTTTATTCTGTCCCAGTCTCTCCCTCTCCCCAACCCTAACTCCTCTCCCCATACTGATTTTAGAAAGAAACAGATGAAACAAAGGGAAATGCACTTAGTTGTTAAGATTCTACTTTTAATTACATTACATGGAACACCATAAACCAGGTGAAACATTCATTATTATGAAAATAACTGAAGCTCTTAAATATCATTTAGTAAACTACCCATTGCTTTATTTAACGTCTGCTTCCTTATGCCTGTACTCCATTATTTCAGAAGCAGCATGTGATACAGGAGTTGCTAACTTAATTATACATTTGTTTTATTAGACAAATTATTATTATGTATTTCACAACAAATAATCAGATCTAAAACTGTGCCATAACTGCTGGAAGATTTGCACACCATTTTAATGGGTAATTTTTTATAGCTGAATTGACCGCATCCTTGAACATACGTTTGAGTTTTTAATCTTCTGACAGTTCAGCACTTAGCTTGTAATTGCAGCAATACAAGTTTGTGCTTTAATAAAAAAAATAGAATACAAAATGTGGAGTATAGTTCCTATACAAGCACTAATTCCACTCATATTGAATTAATTACGTGTTTGAAAAAAGGACTCTAGACTTCCATTTAGCTTATCTATTAATCATAAAATAGCATAGCTTGTTTAGCTGATTCCAATATGACAGCAGAGTTCATGACCTAATTAGGTTACCTAATTATGAAAACTCAAGACTCTTACTGATCAATTTTCTTTTGATGAACATACATAACAGCTATTGATATAATCATAGAAACCCTGGAAGCATGTGAGCCTGTAATTTGCTACATAAGCACATTAAAACGTTTTCAGTTGTCCACACTTGCTAAATGCAACAGTGAGAATTTCTAAATAAAATATTTTATATTTTTTTCCTCAAGAGATATTGATATTTTAGGAATTGTCTTTTCTTCATATCATTAGCTTTAGTCATGATTTATGCAGAGTAATAGTTGATTATCAATGCAAGTTTTCAGCTCCTTAACTGCACTTTCTTAAAATGTAACTGATTTCAACCTGATGCTCATAGTTTCATGTGAAGCTTTAGTTAGAGTTGGACAAACTTTTTTCTAGTAGACTATAACAAATGATTAGGTTCAACTGTTACATTTAAAAACATAGCATTTAAAGGACCATCCCTTTTAAATCTGAAGTTTCCACTTCTCAGGATGCTCTTTTTATTGAATTAAATAGCATGACATACATTACTTCTTTTTAGCTTGCATCAAAGAGGGTAAAGGAAGATCTAGAAAATGCATTAACATAAAGATCTGCTTTTAACTATCTTTTCAATTTTCAGCTTTCAATACAGAAAGTGAACTGCTGACAGCATAAAGCTGCAACCCAGAACCTTTTCCTTCAGTGAGAATAAGATGTTTCTTTAAAATGAGAAACATCAGACCAAGTTTTACTCTCAGTTACACCCACTGAGCAAATGGGGAAAGAATTGGGTTACTCTTAACAAGTGGTCTGTTTACAACTCAATTTTATTTCCCTGTGAAAGGCTTAGCACTGATAAGTGTGGGGGAAAGTCATCATCAATGGCTTTAGATCACAATATTCAATAGCTCTAACTTGGTCACAGTACAAAGACCTAATACTGAGATGCCCCAGGAAATCAGAATAGGTGTAAAGTCTCAACATTACAAGCACAAGAAATGTAAACGCTTTTGTCTATAAATCTAATAAAAGTTAGTTACTATGCTGAACTTACTGTGCTGGCAGTGAATCCCATTAAATCCTTCTGGACATTTACAAACATATCCAATGAATGTGTCGCCTCGATATGCTTCGCTAATTTCACATGTGCCGCCATTATGACAGGGATTAGGAAGGCAGGGTCCTGAAATGTAAAAATAATTTAGTCATCTGTGTGTTCCCATTTCCTCACTAATCTTAAAAAGGCTTTCACTCAACAAGGACACTCCTCCAGAGAGACAGATCTCACATCTGAAAGAGCCACCCAGATACCACGTGAAGAATTGCTGCAGTACAGTAGAAAAACCCTCACAAATTGCACACTGCTGGTTATAACATATCACCCCTCCCTCAAACCCATATGGAAAATCCTCAAACAATTGCAACCCATACCCTATTCTTAAAGAGATCTTCCCAGAATCACCCATCTTAGCCTTCAAACTGTAGCAAAATCCCCAGTTTTTCTTTTTTTAAATTTATTTTAAAATTAATTCCCTCCCCTTCCCCAACCATTTCTGACTTTTTCTCTCCCTTTCTATTCCCTTTAGATAAGTATAACTGAGCTGAGACTTAGGATCAGCTTTAAACATTTTTATTTTGGTAGCAAGTTTTTGGTCTTGGATATCCCCTGTTGTATATTGTATTATTATTAGGTTAGTATTGATTCTTCCTGTTGTATATTGTATTATTATCATGTTTGTATTGATTTTGATTGTTTCATATGGATATTGTACGGTTTAGGCCTGTGTTTGTAAGTGAACCAAAGTCATGTCAAGTTTCCATTTTATATGTCAAGTCTCCATCTTGCGTCCTCTGCCTGGGCATCCCATGTTGCAACTGTATGAGTCACGTACCCCTCCCATGTAAATTGGTTCC